TTAAGTGTGGCAGAGATGAGGATGCTTAGATGGATGAGTGGCTTTACCCTTAGAGATAGGATACGAAATGAGCATATACGTGAAAAGGTTGGAGTAGCTCCAGTAGAAGATAAGATTAGAGAGAGTCGCCTTAGATGGTTTGGTCACATAAAAAGGCGGCCTTCCGACGACCCAGTTAAGAGAGTAGAGGTATTAGATTTGACTTGTGTTAAGAAAGGTAGGGGTAGACCTAAAAAGACTTGGTTAGAAAATATTAGGAATGACCTTTCTTTATTAGATTTAAACGAGAATTTGGTTTTTAATAGGACACAATGGAGAAAAAGGATTCATGTAGCCGACCCCACGTAGTGGGATAAAGGCTTGATGTTGTTGTTGTCCCTAATTTAGGGATGTGGGCCCCACGAAGAATCCTCCTTCCTCCTTTTTATAGGAGTGGTGTTGCCCTACTCATTTTTACATTTGCTTTGAGTTCATTAATTCTGTTGTGTGGCTTCTTAAAAGTTCTGAGTATTCAACTGGAGTGAGGAGGTTCTGCTTATGGTTGTAGGCGAATTTTCAAGTCCTTTTAATATCAATTTGGTTCTCTTTTTATAATTTTATCCTCATTTTATTATTTAAGATTTTAGACTTAGCTTTCATTTTGATTTTCAATTTATGTTCAAGTTCCTTTTATTTTGTTATATTTAAGTTTCATATCAGTATAAGTTTTGGTAACTTTCTAGCATCTCCTACGCATAAAAGGTGTGTTCAGGGGTGAGGTGATAGTCCTTCCCAAAATGTTGAAAAAAACATGTATAGTCAGTGTTGTGAGACATTGTGATTAGAGGTTTTATATCCACTGCGTTTAAAAAGTGCGCATAGGCCCTCATTACTTGCACGAGATAATACACAAGATTTTCCCATCGCTTTGAAACAACGTACATGAGTACTTAAATTCTGAGAGTTTCATGTTATACTTTATGTGTGAGGTGATTGACGACAATGAGATAATGAGTTTGTGATGAGAAAAGAAACACAAAAAGGGAGAAATGTTAGGGGATAAAGAGTTGGAGAAGGAATATTTTTTGTATGTTCTCTTTATTTAGAGAGAAAGGGAGAGAGGAGAATGAGAGCTAGGGAGGGGGAGAGAGAGAGAGAGAGAGAAAGAGGAGAGAAAGGAGGGGATTAGAGAGTTAGAGGGAGAGAGAGTTTAAGAGAGAGAGAATGGGAAAAGAGTAAGTGAAAGAGAGAAAAAGATAGGGAGTGAGTTAAACTGATAAAGGTAGAGAGTTAGAGAGAAAAATAGTAAAGAAAGAAAGATGGAGAAAATTGCGAGCGAACTTGATATGCAAATGAAGAGTGGGTCATGAGAAAAAGGGCGAGGCTTGGATTTTGTTCTCTAATTTTTTTGTTTGATGCGTGAGGGATGGACGAGGCACTTGCGACGCTGTAGTGCACAGATCCAGGATTTGAGGGAATTTTTTGTGATTTGATTTATTTTTTATTTTTTATTTTTTTCTTAAATTAATCAGAATTAAATAAAAAAGGAGAAAAATGTGAATCGACTTCTTGTGCAATTTCTTGTGCCTCATGCGTCTCTTGAATTAGTGTTGTTGCCTCGAAAGGCCAATTTTTTTCACATTTGTGCAATAGATAGGACAAGATGGGTCTTTTAGTAATTTTGATGCACCAACTCAATTCATTTTATGAGAAAACGATGTTCAATTGATTTCAATCACTATTGAGGCATTTTAGACATGATTTGCATGACATCACGTTCGTTGTCCGTCTTCTTGGCTAAGATTGATAGAATTGATCGCGAGAGGTGCTTCTTTGGTGATTTTGGTGCTTCAAACATGTCGACACAGTCCATTTCTTGAACGGGCAACATTTGATCAACATTGATTATGATCAAGGCGTTTCAAACTCGGTTCACGTTATGTCAAATTAGTCAGTCAACATTCTCATCATTTTCTATGGAATTAGACAAAGGTCAACATGACAAAGCATATGATAAAGTTCCAAGAGAAGTGCTATGGAGAGTGCTAGAAAAGAAAGAGATTAATAATACTTATATTCAAGTCATTAAAGTTATGTATGCAGGAGTTGTTACTTGTGTTCAAACACAAGGTAGTTTGACAAAGTATTTTCCTCTTTCAGTTGGATTACATCAAGGATCAGCCTTAAGCCCTTATCTTTTTGCTTTAGTCATGGATGTTCTTCCTAGATATTTGCAAGAGGTTGTACCTTAGTGTATGCTTTTTGCTGATGATATTCTTCTTGTTGATAAGACCAGAGAAGGAGTTGAAGGTAAACTTGAATTATGGAGGTCAACATTAGAGTTTAAAAATTTTTGTTTGAGTAGATCTAAAACTGAATATATGTAATGTAACTTTAGTAGTAATGTAATGTAACTTTAGTAGTAATAGATCTAGTGGGGGGATTGTGACTTTGAGCGATCAAGTCATTAATAAGAGTACTTATTATAGATATCTTGAGTCTATTGTTCAGAATGATGGTGAAATAGATCAGGATATTATTAGTAGAATTCAAAGTTTGATAGTTGAAGTGGAGGATTGCATCAAGCTTGTTATGTGATTGAAAAGTCCCCCCTCAAACTTAAGGGAAAATTCTATAAAATGGTGGTGAAACCTGCAATTCTTTATGGTGTAGAATGTTGGCCATTAAAAGAGATGATTTACTAATTAAGAGTTATACTATTCCTTTAATTAAATTTGTATCGATTATACGAAAAATCATCTAGTCTTCGACGCTTCAAATAATTCCCTCTTTGTATAAATTTGGTAAAAAATACTCCATTTTTTTTTGCTTATAGATGAGGAAGAAGTTTGACTAAGAATAGGAATAGCTAACTTTATAAATTTAAGCACTAGAACCAAATATTTTACACCATTCATTTAAATATTATCAATTATTAATTACTTACCAGGTTGCATATTTTTGACATTGTATCGGCTTGTCAAAGCTTTCTAAATTATCTCAAAAAAATTGACCTCATTCATTATAAATTTAGGTTTGTTATCACATACTTATTATCATTATCAAAAATATTGCATCTTCATTGCGATTGAATGTCCGATTAGATCCCAGTTTAACCTTTGAACATTGAACTTTTTCACCTACCGGTTCTATTACACACCATACCAGTCATATTCATCTACAATGCAAACCATATGAATATAGTTTTCATGAGAATTTTAACTATTTGTTAAGCTTGTTTGATTAAAGGTCATAAATTTCTTAGATGATTTAATTTAGCTTACGTATTTTGTTAAACATCATGAACAATTCATTTATAAAAGTTCAGGTTATTAAGAAATACCGTTGAAAATCATAAGGTTCTTCTCATTTGATTGAGGCCATTAATTGAAAATTTTTGTATGCATTCGAGGGACAGTCAGACAAATCTTAATAATATGCTCGAACTATGTACGCTCTAGTGTCCTACTAATTTTGATGTTGTTAAAGATATGGATGGTTTTGAAGCTCTCTTTTTTTCTTTCTGCTATTGCTTTGTATGATTTTTAAACACAAATTCCTATAATTTATTATGATGTACATCATTAAAATTACTTATATATGTTGAATTTCATATTTTGATCATTATAATTTACATATGAATCAAATTTGTGACAATAATTAGGATGATTTGATGGCATATAAAAACCCCCTTGAATATCTAGCTTATTAATATTTTTCACCAAACAAAATTATTGAATACATTCTAAATATCTTCAACAATCAATATTTTATTCCAAGTAATTTAAAGTCTACACAATAAAAGCATGATTATCTTTTCATACTCTTAGAGACAACTATTGTGAAAATTTTGATCTATATGATTGGAGATGAAATGATCTAAGAAGTTCTTTTAATCTTTTGATTTGAAGGTCTTAGGCATTGAAATCTAAATTGGATGAGGTTAATTTCCTAGGAGGTGAAATGTTTAGAATGTTTGGATGACATAAAAGTTCACATAAAGTGTAGATTTATCTATATTTTTCATCAATTAATATCAATTGAATTCGTGAGCAATCCATACAGTTGATTCCAGGAGAATTAGAAGGCTCTGCCCATTAAAATCGTAATTTTCTGATGCAATCACTTCAATTGATCTACAAAATATTTGATGCATGTGATTGATGGAAAAACGATATTAAAAATTATTAAAATCACGTTTTAAATATGGATTATGGACGGTTTTAGTCTTTACATTTAAATGTTTGTAGCATCGAAATCTAAATTGAAGAATGTTAGTTCTCACTAGGAGGAGAAAGGCTAACCCACTATGAAGCCCCTACTAAGGTAGTGATTATGGAGGAATTGATGTACTTAGCCTTATTGTTCCATTACAAAAAAGATTATTTCCATAATTCGATCTTGTAAATTTCAAGTCCAAAAATGGAAGCCAATTACATTCAACTCATTCACTTCTAATTGAGTTTGACATTTTTTCCACTGCTTCCCTTTTTTGTCTCCAATCCTTAAGCATCCAAATATCAAATCAAATCTATTCATCAACTCTAGCAATCATTCAGATTTTTATAAATAAAATAAAGATATGCCTTCACCTGTCTACAATCATTTCAAAACTTTTTGTTTAATGTAATTAGTGGAGTAAAATCTTTTTTTTTTTTTTTTTGAGAGGTATTGTAACTTTATCATTGCTTGACCATGTTCCACCCATATTGTTATATTTATTTAAAAAATGATCAAACGTTATTTCTGCATTAGTCATTTGATTTGTGTTTTATCATAATCAGCAATATTGTTGAGAATAGTCTTGTTTTTGACATATAAAAGTTTAGAAGCTTAATCACACACTTGGGCTTCGTTTGAGACAGTTTTTTCACTGCTTCATAAAGCTTATTTTTTTGAACTAAAAAGCTGCTTTAAAAAAAAAAAAAAAAAAAATCATCCCAAACGAAAGCTCAAAGACAATGTTATACTGATTTCACAATGTTTGTGATATACGTAAAGCATTCAATTTTGTGTGGCAGCTTGTTGGAATGGGCTTTGACAGGGCGCTTGTCTTAGAAGTCTTCTTTGCCTGCAATAAGAACGAGGAGCTTGCTGCAAATTATCTTTTGGACCACATGCATGAGTTCGAAGAGGATGGATGATCGATCACTGGTTCAATCTAAATACTTCCCTCTTGCTCTCTCTATTTGCCTTCTGTTTTTGCGCTCTTTTCAGTCTTTCTTGTGTGCGAAATAAGTCTCTTTTCTTTTTCTTCAATTTCATACAGTGAATATTTTAACAGATTTTTATGTTATGTATGTATTTAGCTTACAGGACACTAACTGTGTATACATTTTTCTGGAGAAAAATTAGATCAGGATATTTGGTCAAAATTTACTTATAATAGATCTCAAATTTGCTAAACTTATTTTGAGATGAGTGTAACTCATTTTAAAATAAATTTAAATTTCAAGATTTATTCTGATTAAGGTTTTGTTTGGGATAACTTTTTTAGTGCTTTTTTAAAGAAGTTTTTTAGTATACAAATTTTAATTTTGTATTAAAAAGTTATTTTAAGAAGTAATAAGATAGCTGTCCCAAATGAAGCCTAAATTTTGGTTTGCATATCCTGATTTTTATTTTTTCCAATTATTCATTGTGTCGCACATATCGTTAGATCATTTCAAATCGTCTTTCTTGCATGATTTTTTTTTTTTTTGGTTATAAAAATTTGCCTGTGATAACTGTATAGCAATATGCACTAATCATGGATGTCCCATTAATTAAGGTTTTGTTTGGGACGACTTTTTTACTGCTTCTTAGCTGTCTCAAATGAAGTTTAAGGCTGATGCTGATAAAGCTGCTTATTAAAAAATACATCTTTTTATCATAATTGTAGTTAATTAGATGTTATCATTTGCTTAAATGTGATAAGAAATTAATTTTATTTTAAAATTTTAGAAATTTATGAGATATTAAAATTTTCTGAAAAGATCTTTGTCTCAATGGATCAAAGGTTGCCTCGTAAGATTCATGGTTTGAGACATATTTTGTGATTTGGTGTTCATCATTTTAATGCATATAATAATTTTATTCGCATAAAAAATGTTTAAATCGATTATTTTTATAATTTGTGTTTTATTATTACAAACAAGGATTAGATTTACAATTGAAATCAGCCAAATTGAATATCTGAAGTTGTCTTCGCCCCAGCCCTTAGCAAGCTTTTAGTTCTCATTTTGTGCTGTGCAATGTTCAGCACAAAATATTAGATGTTATTATCTGGAATGGGTTTATTTGTTTGGATGGTATGTTGGAAGGCATGCTTATTTTAAGTTTTATAGGTTTCAATAATTTTGATATTTTTGGTACTCAGATTTACTTTTATTTTTTATTTTTTTTCATGAAATGCAGAAAAATAATTTCAAGGTTAGGCTAAAGTATGAATTTAATTGTATATATATAATCATGAAAATCTTTTATGTTTTGATTAGGGTTCAGTTGAAGTTCGGGAATTAAAGCCCTAAACTTTTATTAGTCATTAGTGAATGTATTAGAGGAAAAATTTTCTTTCATTTTATAAGTTTTAATAATATTATTATTTATTACGTCATCCGGTTCGACCCCGATTTGACCGGTCGAACCGGTCAAACCGTGAACCTCTCCTTCCGGTCCGTTTTTCAAAACCTTGGTTATTACTCAATTTTTTTTATATTCATTTTTAACTTTTATAATAATTTTTTGTTTATAAAATATATGATATTAATAACATGACAAACTTGATTTAAAAATTAACATAAACAAAATAAAAGAAGCTCTAATTTATCATCAACTAAGATTTGCTACATTTTTTTTATATAGATTGATATGTCATGTTGTGGATATTGTTTGGTTCATCGTCATGTTGCTGATTGGACAGTTATCTATACATAGGCTTCAACATAACACGTTTTATTGATCGGTGGTCATAACAGTACAGTAGTTTTCATGCCGGCCATGAAATCCCTCCGATTGCCGACCATCAATTTAACAAATCTATACCCATAAAATTCTCCATATTCTCCTAAACAAATAGAGTGGTTGAACCTAAAAATCATTATATCATTGAAATAGTTCAAATGCTTGAAGCTAAAAGACCTTTCGATCTATGGGTAGTTTTGATTTCTATTTACCTCATAAATTGATTGCCATCACTCAGTACAAAAAATCTTCACAATATCAATTATTGTACAAACAAACACCCTTCTACAGTCCTCTCAAAACCAGGAGATTATTGGGTTCGGACACCTGACACAGCTTACATTCGGTATTCACAGTACTGAGCTTGGTACTGTGAAATATTGAGTATCAAGCAGTATTGAGCTCGGTACTGAGCAGTACGGAGCTCGGTACTACTTGGTACTGCTCAGTATCAGGCTCGGTACCGAGTAATAGGTGATGTGGCCCATTTTCATTGGGCTCCGAACACGTCCGATGTCCGAACCCAATAATTTCCCTGCAAAACCATTGGTTTTTTGTATTATCTATGATTATCTCACCTCTCATTTAATAAATGAACTAAAATTTATTCCCCATGTTTTTTCTTGGGAGGAACCAACCATTACGACTATAAATATTGTCATAAAAATTTAGGTTTCATTTGAGATAGCTTTCTTACAATTTTCTAAAGTAATTTCTACTGCCAAAAAAAAATTTAGTTCAACAATTTTTTGTGCTAAAAAATAATAAGAAAACTATTCCAAATAAAATCTTAGTTTTCATTTTGAAATAACTTTCTTGTTGATTTCTAAAGCAGCTTTCTAGTAAGCACATACTAAACATATAGAAATCCTTTTTCAATTCATTTAGAATTGTACCAAAATAAGGCTCTCACAATCCATCATCTCAACACTGTACCATTTTCAACTTCATTTTTCATTTTCTATGCCACTGGAGACCGAATTAACTCATGAAAAATGTGACAATTTAATGCATTCAAAAGAAAACTGTAAAAAGGAAAGCAAAACCTTTCAAAGAAAAGAGAATATTGAAGCTGAAATATATTGAAATAACATAACTAGGAGCAAAAGGTACAACAATATATAAAAAAGAAGAAACAGAACCTTTGTTGCAAATTTTCAAGCAGCCTCTGCTTCTTTTTCCTTTTTCGCTTCTTTTATAAGTTTTTTCCAGTTCTCCGCACTGTCAATTATTTCTCCAGTCTTGATGAGGTAACGGACTTTGCTTCCATCTTCTAAAACCTTGTGCCCTACTCGGCTTGCTACATTCTGCTCTTTTGAATACAACATAACATTTGAGCTATGAATGGGTGCTTCAATCTGAAGACAAATCAATTGAATTTCTCATCTTCATCAAATTGTTAGAAAGATACTAAAAATACAATTAGTATTTAAACATTTTTCTTTAGAAAAAGTAACTCACCTTCACAATCTTCCCTGGTTCTCCCTGCTCTTTGCTTTTCATGTGTTTTGTCTTGAAGTTAATGTCTTTTACAACAATCTTGCTGTTATGGCGAAATATCCGAGTAATTTCTCCTACTTTACCTTTGTCATCGCCGGCAATGATTTTTACAGTGTCCCCCACTTTAACGTGCATCTTATGCAAAACTGGAAGACTATTTGGTTTGCATTCCTTTCGCTCCCATCTCTTAAGCTACATTACAGAAAGAAAGAAAAAATTTGGAGTCGGTAACATTGTACTGTCCACAAATAGAAAACAATGGAGCTTGATGTCGACCCAAATATTAGGCTGATATGAATCATAACATCCAAATTGAGCGATATTGAAAATGAGAATGTTACGATGAATTTGTGAAAAAATTTAGAAACTATTAAAAGGATGTGATAGAAGTAGCACTAAAGATAAACAAGAGAAGAGAGATTGTGTTGAGATCATTGAAATTGGAAGATTATTTATTCTAACCTCTACTCAACAATGGGATGCCCAAAATATGGGGCCATAAACTGTGGAGAAGACAATGGACCTTGATGGTTTAGGCATGTAGATACAAGATAGATAAAACACTAATAACACAGATAAATAAAACTAAGAGAAAGAAATATGAAGCGAAAGAGCCTGCTGATTTAGGCTTCGTTTGGGATGGCTTTCTTTCTGCTTCTTAAAATAGCTTTTTAATACAAAAAATTTAATTTTTTTATTAAAATGATGTTTTATGAAGCAATAAAAAAGCCGTCCCAAATGAAGCCTTAATTAAGAAGAATGTGGATTCATAATCGGAAAGACTATAGTTGAGGAAAGGCTAATGATGGTGATGATAAGAAGGGAAAAATACAAAGGCATCAATTTATACAGTTTACTAACCTTCATTACTATTGGGCATGATCTGTCAGCAAATTTTACCTGCAAAAACAGCACTGATCGTATTTATGGTGGTTCATTCATAATGAAAAGCAAGAAAGCTGAACCATAAACTTCCAAAAAAAAAAAAAAAAGTGCTGCTTTCATTCCTATTTTAAAATCAAAATGAGTATTATGTCAGATTTACAAAAAAATCAAAATGCAAACTACCAATTTTTTGGTTGAATTGTAAACATGATCTAATCTCCACATGGATAGCACCAAAACTTCTATGAATTATAAAACTTGGAAAAACTATAGGGTTGAATGGTTTGTGTGCAGAAAAACTGATGTGAATAGTGCAACTTGCATATTGCAAATTACCAAAGTTGAAAGATTTCCTTAAACAATGTTTGCTATGTTTGCTATATTCAATTTCTTAAAATTTATGTCTGATGAAGTCTAATAAAACTTCCTCCAGAATTTCCAAATAAATCCAACTTATAATTTCTATACAATAGTAAGAAATCTAAAGAGGCAGGCTTACTTGAATTTTTTTTTTTTTTTCACATAGTAATTGTAAAAATGGACAAAATTAATAAAAACCGAGGGATTTCTGTTGATAAAAAACCAAAAAAATGCCAGAAAAAGGAACTTGTCAAACTATGTATTACCTAAAATAATCTCTAAAGCCAAAGACTCCATATTTTCCAATTACACTTACAGAAAAGAAAAGGCACCGACATTTTTGGACGCTAAACACATCTCTAGCCTTTGCAACAACTGGTTAGCTCACTACTCTTAAAATTTGGGTTTCTCTTGCCTCAAATAACCAATGGACCTAAGATTGGATGCTGCAAAGCATCTAACGACATCTATATACTTTCCACAAACTGATACTCGTATAGGGCTTTCTTTCCCCCAACAAGTTTTTCGGTAGTTCTAAACTAATTAGCAAGATTTCGGTAAAATGTTGCAAAAATCCTGCTCAAAACCTGCTACCAAACAGCCGCTAAGAGATTGGAGGAAGTGCGTTGATGAAAAGTGCAGAAGAGAAATGCAAATTGCAGAGAGATTAGGTTTCTTACCGGCGGAGAGAGAGACGGGAGAAAGCTCTCTCCGAAAAAGGAACTGGGAGCAAGAGAGAGAGAAGCCATGGAGCCCTGGAGTGCTGCAATCGCTGCCATCACCGCTCGCTAGCTTGTTCTGGTACCCGTCTACTCAAATTTTCTCTGGATAGACTGAGATGCTAACGGTGGGAAATTTAACTCATTTTCTGATGTCATGTGAGAAGAGCCTATTTTAGTAAAAATTATTAGGTCAGGTACCTGTCGAAGCTCTACATTCGGTGAGCAATAAAGATGCGTCACGTATTTTCATTATTTACCGCGCGGCCCGACAACCCGACCCCGAACGAACCCGGGAGTTTGCGTATTGCTCGGTATTGGTCGATTTTGCTCGACAAAAATGAAAAATACCATTCTGTGAAGACCAATACCTAGCAATACCGAGTTCTTTTTGGTATTACTCGGTATTGCTCGGTATTGGTCTTCTTAGAGCGGTATTTCTCATTATTCCCAAGCAATATCTAGCAATACCGAGTAATACCTAGCAATACCGAGCCAATACCGAGCAATACGCGAACATAGTAATCTCGGATTCCGGTCCGAGTCGGGTCGTCGGGCCGCGCGGTAAAGGGTAAGAGCACGTGGCGACATATTATTGGCTACCGGACGTAGAGCTACATCAGGCTCCCTGACCTAATAACCCTTATGGGCAAGAATTTTAGAAGCAGTCATATTTATTTTAAATTGACATTTACATAAATAGAACTTAAAAATATAAGATTTATAAATTTGATATCTAAATTTTATTATTCATATAAAACAATACCTCATTACCAGAGTTAACGAACTCGTTGATGTCAAAGAGAAGGGAAATTATTAGGTCCGATCACCAGCGTATAGATAGGTCCGAACATAAATAAAATATTGACATGTGGAATGTACACGTGTCCGCATAATTTTAAGTCAAACACGTCAAAAGCGCAGTTAAAGCACAGGTAAAGCGCAGTCAAAGCGCACCTAAAGCACAGTCAAAAAGTGCAATCAAAGCGTAGTCCACGTGGCAAGTTTTAATTGGATGTCTGGACCTATTTTAGGTCCGATGACCGGACCTAATAATTTGCCCAAAGAGAAGACCTCTCTTGCCTTTAATGAAGGGACATAATGGTGAGGGAAAGGAGACTATTATTGTTGGTGTCATTTAAAATTTTAAGGGTTATATATGTAAATACTCAAATTTAGATATTTAATATGTAAATCATATAATTTTAAGTGTTATGTATGTAAATCCCCTATGCAACTGCATACATATTAATATAATGTGTCATGCAAAAGCCATTCATCTCATATACAAACAACAAGACAATTAAAATAAATATCTTGAATAGAAAGAGTTTACCTCATTTAAATATTTAAGATTGCTCCTAGAAAATTATTTATAAAATTATATGTAGGCATTCAAACTAAATAAGCAATTTGTTAAAATGTATTTAATGAGTATTCAAAAAGAATAAATAACTATGAAGGCATTAGCTCCGTTTGGGATGGATTTTTTACTGCTTCTTAAAGCAGTTTTTTAGTTTAAATTTTGGTACTAAAAAATTTCTTTGAGAAGCAGCAAGAAAGCCGTCCCGAACGAAGTCATAATTAGTTGTCTTAACAAGTGAGGTTCTCTTTATTGTTAAATTTAATAAGGGACCATCTTATTATCTAAATACTCCCTTTCTTGAGATCAATTAAACACTTTGACAATTCATAAACCAAAACTCCATACGAGTCATAATAATATTGATATAGAAAACTAATCAAATTTGAATTAATAAAAAATTTAAAATTATCATTATAATGTTATAATATTTTCACTTTTATTTTTATTAACTACATTTGTATAGCTTAGAGTCTTACTTTTTTAAGATATCATTATTTCTAAGTAGTGAATTACATCCTTCATTAAACTTTAATTATGCCATAATTACTTAAATAATTATTTCTTCCCCACTGTTTCACTTTTTAAGTTTTTATGGTAAATTATATTTTTCATCTCGAAGTTTTTCATGTCCTAAAAGAATGACAATCAAATACTATGTGCACCATCTTCCTCACAAAGGATGTAATAAATATGCCATTAAACAATATCATTATGATTTCTCTGTTCTTACAAAAGAAAATTTACAGAAGATAGCTCATCTCACTAATCCATACAAGTTTACCATACAAGCTTCTTAATTCATGGCAACATGTCCTGCTCCATCTTACTCCCTAAACCACCCAGCTATATCATCTTCATCACTTGATTCATTTGAGGCCATAATTTTGAGAGTGGAAGAAGATAATGCTTCATGATCATGCTTTCCAGAACTTGGTCGTTCTACTACCCCTTTGTTCCTCATTTCCTCCTTCCATCTCTCTCTCGTTAAGGGATCAGTAGATATAGCACTATTACCTCCAACAATTGGAAATTCATGAAATTCTGTAGTGTTTTTCAGTTCATGAGTGTCAGGTTCTTCATCAATGTCATTATTTTCACAAAATGTATACTTGGGAAAGCTCTGAAAGTCTGAGCTAGATTCTTTTAGGTGGCTGTTCTTATGCAGGAAATGTTGAAATGTTGTTTCAGAAGGTTTATTATGTTGATCTTTACTGTTTGTATGGGAATGGACAGCACCCTCTTCAGTATATGATACCTTGGGTCTTTTCCAGCCACACTTCAGACAATAGTAGTTTTTACGAAAATTGATGTAGTTGCACCTGCAAAACAGAAAAACAATGTATAGGTGGTGTCATTCTTACCAGATGTCTCAACCTGCTAGTAGTTCACACGAAGGATTAGAAGTAGAATTAGAGTACTATGAATCCATTTATAGATTTTTGGTTTGGCACAAAATGTTACGACAAACATTTGAGAATGATTCATGATTTTATTGTTAAACTGAATCTCGAGCAAAGAGGCCTTTACCTCAGTTACCTCACAAACTATACATAAATTTCTAAATCTTAAAACCTATCCTTCCATGATACACAAGGAACCAAATTTTTTATGGCACACCTATACTACTGCTGCATTTGAAGTAGAATCAACTTGCAAGATGATGCAGGGACGGATCCTGCCTTAATTTTCAAGGGAGACAAACTTATAAGTAAAAGTGTAGAGTTTTTTTTTTTTTCATAAATATCCGTACAATCTAAATTTATTCCAAGGGCGTTGCCTCTTGACTCCTATTTATTCATCGTTGTATGTTTCACAGATAAATCAGGGGTCCAAGGGGGCAGCACCCCTTGACGGGGGGTTTGACCGTTCATCGTTCTCTTACAAATTTTGGTTGTAAGGATATTTTTGGATTCTCTTTACTATTTCTCTTTGTATTTGGTTTATCGTTCTCTTATAACAATAACATCTCTACACAATGTGTTTAATTATGTTGGGGCAATTGCCTAAAGACCATAGTATTGTAAAAATTTTAGGGGGGAGGGGGGGCAATTGTCTAAAAACCCTTGTAATAAAGACTAAATGATATATTGAGGGGGACAAATCACCTAAAGAATCATATAATAAGAAATTTTTTTTATTTTTTTAGGGGTGAGGGTGGCAATTGCCCCCTTGCCTCACGGCCTTAAGATAGATCCGCCCTTGACGACGCATATATTATTATGATGTTTGACATATGATGATAAGTAGAACATTTCAGAAAATGTGTGGAAGAAGACAAAAAAAAAGTACTGAAAAAATGGAGCAATATAACTCCTGATCACTAACTTATCAATAACTTACGATGCACATTCCCATTCCCCTGGATTCAGCAGGCGATTAGTTGGCTTTTCATTACACTGCAAGCATTTGGCATTCTTGGCAAAGTTCAAGAAATTGCACCTATGAGATTAACAGATACATGAAAGAGGGTGAATTGATGATTAGTCAAATTTTCTTAAACAACCTTAGTGTTCAACTTACTTTTCACAGATCCAATCTCCTTTCTTAAGAGGAAGATTCTCTCCATCTTCGCGTAGTTTGGCAAGCCTTTCTTTAAATAATCCATCACAGCGCAAGCATTTAATGTTCTTAGCAAAGTTCAAAAATTTGCATCTACAATAAGAAGCAAGTGATGATTATTAACAACAAAAAATGATAGTAGCAATTATATTTGGCATTAAAGGGATACTTGGGGCAAATCCAGTCACCCTGCTTCATTGGGATGCTGCTTTGAGATTTCTCCATCCCATGTAAAGAAGCCATCCGATGTCTCCTGTCTTCTGGAATGGAGCCATAACCCTTGATGCTTAGATCCACTATATCATTCAACAACTTTCTTGTAGATTCGTTTACAGCTTGGCTAAGGCTTGGCCTTTTTTCTACTGATGCAGTCGCAGCATCAATTCCATATGTCAACAAGATGCGCATAACATCCAAGGTTCTTCCATCTTCATCCTCGTTGGGCTTCACATATGCCCTCTCACAGTTCCCCCTTACTTTACATGAGCTGCACACCTATATATGTTGGGAAATATTGGTCATCATTAAAAATATATATAAGAAATTAGTACCACGATTAGTATTGAAGAATTTTTGGCGAATTCTTTTCAACAAACCTCTCCTTCATTAGTACCAACATAAGCCCTTAGTCGTTTTCCTGAATTGACAACTTTTCTGTCTAAACCTGGGCATCCAGATCCAACAATTATCCTAATGTCTTTCCTGGAAAGATATCTGAAATAAATGAAGTCAAATTAGGTAGAATGAGATTGCAGTAGATGGAAGATCCTCCATTGTATAAGAACAATAGAATCAGTATGATTGCATAACCAAATATTTGAATGTCTGGCTGTAAGAAATTCATTTATGTAAGTGAGGGTGACTGAAATGAGGATGTTAAGATAGATGTGTAGCAAAATTACAGAGAACAACTGCAGCCACGAAAAATAACTATGGCAATTGCAAAATCCAATTCACATAATGTAGAACAAGAAGTCAGACCCATGGCGATAAAAGAAAGAATAAAAACCAATCCTTGTTCGATTCTTCCTTCACGGTCTGCAATTTCTGAAAATTAGTTGTTTTCTCAAGCATATCAACAAACAGTTTGTCTACCATTCTCAAGAAGTCTCATCACCGCTCACCTTATCAGCTCGGCATTCTCCCTCGCGAAATTGAGGCAGGCTGTTCGTATCAGGTTTGAGTACTTCGAAGAACAGCAGTGCGAAAAAGAAGAGTGGAGCGTCTCACGATCCAAATAGCCTCTTTTAAGGAGGTGATCCATGAGTTCCAACCACTCCGGCCATGGATGGGAAATCTCCACCGATCTCGCCTTCTCCTCTTCCCCCTCAGGAATCCTTGTTCTTTCCGTAGAGGGAGCAGCGACGCGTTTCAAGGGTTCGAGGTCTTGAACCTCCTGCTGGAGAAAATTGAGTCTGCGACTGTTGGCGGCTGTGGAGCTCGATGAAGAAAGGGAGTGCGAGAGGCGGCGGAGACAGAAAAGAGCTCGGTTTAGAGAGGAGAAGAACGAGTGCGACATTATTACAGAATCAGAAGAAGTTAGCCGCCGCTATGAATGAAAATGCGAGGTTAGTGAAGAAATGAAGGAATTGAATGAAGAAACTATTTGAATAAATATATCTGCTATATTTTATTTAAAGAAATATGATGAAATTTTATATATTGAATATATGAATCATAATTTAGAGAAATTTTTTATGAGGATGCTGAACCTAGTTTATTGCTCTAAGACCAACAAGAATGTGTCACGTCAACAGTATCGAGTCAAGTACCGAGCGGTATCGAGCAATACCAAGTAAGGAATGACGTGACGCAATATGGTTAATCTTTGGACGGCGTTCGGCGTCCGCACAGAATAATTTCTCCAGAATATATTATTCTCTTGAATTTTAGCTCTGGTTTCTCTGTTTGAATGACCTTCATCTTCAACAAATTTCAAGTGCTACATTGTGAACCTTTTCTGTGCTTTTCATCTCATTCCCTTCACTAAACTTGTGTTCACGGTTGGGATTTAAATGAGTCAAGTCGAATTCAAGTCATCTTTTATTTGAGTTTAAGCTTTAATTGAACCATACAACTAGTTGCTCAGCTTAGTTAAAACTAGGGCTGCAAATGAATCAAGCCGAGCCGAGTATGTGAGTGTTCATGTTTATGTTCATTTAATATCAGCTTGTTCAAGTTTGGTTCATGTTTGTTCAAGCTTTATTATTTGTGTTCATGTTTGGTTCATTTAAATTAATGAGTGTTCATGTTCGGTTTATGTTCAGTTCATGTTCGTTCGTTTAGTGCTTGTCGAGCTTGTTCGCGAACATATTAAACGAATTTTTTTTAACTATCAAACAAATACGTTCATGAACATATCTATGAACAAACACTTTTATAATAAAGCAATTGTCTATGTAACAAAGACAATGATTATTTATATTTATTAATTCTATAGTGAAATATTAATTATTTTTATTGAGCTTATTCACGAATTCAAAATCGAACACGAATCGAGCTTCGTATCGAGTTTAATGTCGAGCTTGTTCACGAACTTCAAATGATGTTCGTGAACATAAATGAGCCAAACACATCAGTGTTCAAGTTTGTTTATTTAAGAATCGAATATTTAAAATATTGTTTAAGTTTGTTTGTTTAGTTAATTAAACGATCACAAACGAGTTTTAATTGAATCGAACAACGAGTAGCTCGTCGAACGTTTGGTTCTCTTGCAGCCCTAGTTAAAACCCGATTCCGACCGTTTATTTATTTATTTATTTTTGACATATTAGAGGATTCGACGGAGATCGGGAGGAATTTTTTTCTGTCGACCAGCTGGCCTGCAACCCAATTCCCATTTAATTATTTGAATAAGCTATAATATTTTTATGAATAATTGATTGATAATGAGCAAGCTTAAACAGCTTGGTTTACTATTTATTTATATAAAATTATTTAATGCTCATGAATAATATCATTATAAGCTCAAAAATATATATAACCATGAATAATAACTTCTAAGGTTCAAGAAAAAAACTCATTAATAAGCTCGATTAATGCTAGATAATACGCTCATTTATGAATTGATTATAAGTTTATTTAATATATGATGGTGTGGAAGCCTTATTCTTTTCTATATTAAATTATTTTTGCTTATAAATACAAAGTCACTTTTATGCTCATTAAATATATTTTTATTTCATAGTTCATTCAATTAAAATCTCAGCTTAAAGCTCAATATGTTACTCATTAAATAAGTTCCATAAGCCATGCTCATAATGAGTTGCTGGAGGCTTTTAGAATGTAAGTGTAAAACTAATCATAATATGAGTGTGCTTCTACTTCGGGCAGATTTTTTATTGTTTTATTTTTTTATAATGAAATTATAATTTCATTTAATTATAAACTGAAACCAATCAAACAGAATTAGAATAAGAAAATTTTTCATAACAAAAAATGGAACATTTATTCTTTCAATTGAGCCGAACCTATTGAAATTTGTAGGTTTGGGTCAATATTTATTTTATGTCCATTAGCTGAAATCCCGATTACTGTACACCCCTAAAAAAACAAATTTTTAGAAATGCCAATTTAGTTTTTTCTCTCTCTAGCAAATTATCTGCAGCGTGACATTTAGAACCTATCTATGTACATATAGAAAAGTTCCAGTTCAGCAATAGCCTCCACAGAGCGGCGACAACGGACGTAGCTCTGTGTCCGGAGACGAATCAGAGCACACCACGTCACCTAGTATACAGCAGGTATACAACAGCAGTACACAACGAAGAGGTGATGTGATGTGCTCTGTCCGGTTTCCGCACATAATAATTAATCCTCGACAAAAGGGTTTCGTGCTACAGAAGCAGACTTGAGGTGAAGTGAGCAGGAGAGCCTCCTTACTAATCTGTCCAAAGCCTCTCTCATCCATTGATGTTTGCATCCTTCCATTGCTTCTGCCACTGAAACCTAATTTTGCATCCACAACATCAGAAATCAGAAGATATGGACTCAATTCAAAGAATGGTAAGTTAATTAGGTTGATAACGCAATATCAGAATTTGAACTGACCCATCTGCGTTGCCGAACACCCATTTCAGGCCAGTGAAGCAACTCTTCAGTTACATTCAAAGGGAACATGACGCTCTCTTTAACTACAGAATGTGCACCGCTTTTGTGCCTCCACTTGCCTAGCCTTAGCTGTGATCGTATAGAACAGTTTTGCTATAACTAATATTCACATATGATGAAAGAAACCTTGATAATTTTTGCTTGTATCCATACCTCTAGATTTCCCTGCACACCAGCTTCCTCCAAAGCCTCTCGATATGCTGCTTGTTTTAAAGTCTCGTCACTTTCCCAACCACCCTGCTTAGGAGAAATGAATGATCAGTTTTCTCCAATGTCTTCTTATTTTGCTGCTGTAGAAGTTAGCTATATCATACCACTCTGTACCATCCTATTTATATATTTAATATTCAAAACTTTAATATTATATACATTCCATCATACATTATTTTAATATCAAGCATGTCATCCATATTTCATTTCTGCCACTCATATATTTCATTTTTACCAATCATATTTGATATGAAAGTGAACTATGGGTGATATGTATGTAATATTAAAATTTTAGGTATTAGATATGTAAATAGAATGGTATAGAGTGGTATGTATGTAAATCCCCTAAAAAAATGTACCATAAGTCTGGCAAGTCTATACTTTTTTTTTTCACTAAAGAGGATACACTCATACACCATGCCAATATTATTAAAAAAAAAAGTAACAAAATTAGCAAAACAATAAAAACTAAGAATGGACAACAAAACACAAATTAAAAAATGCACATATTTGCATACAAAATCCTAGATGGGTAGAAAATCATGTGGAGAGGAGACAGAATTCATTTTATCGATGAAAAACAACCATAATGAAGAGTGATGGCTCATGTAATTATGCCCTAAAAAACACTAATAACATGTGTGCGTGCACACGCGCGTATATATGTGTGTGCTCGCGCGCTTGCGAAAAAATAATAAGTGCCCATTCCATGAGGGCTGCCACTACCATACTCCCAGCTTGATTAATGCTGAGCTCTAGGATTGAACCTATTAGCCAATTCCTCCACTACCACCATAGAACCCTAAAAAAAAATTTCATTATTTATGTTGCAACACATATGTCACTGCAAACTTTTTAGCCCAAGCCCAATATAATTTAGGTCACAATTTCTAGTTAATACAAAATTAATTATGACCAAGTGAGTAAGGCTTCATTTAGGACGGCTTTTTTGTTGCTTCTTAAAGCAGTTTTTTAAAACTACCCAATAGAAGAACCCAAAAAAGCCTTCCCAAACGAAGCCTAAGTTAGTCGCTAAGTTAAAGCTACCCAATAGAAGAACTATCCCTAAAACAAACAAGCAAGCAAATGATGATGGCACAACAAATCTGGCAAAAATGCCCTAAGCATATTGCTTTCCATACACCTACTCAACATTGATATAATTTAGGTTCTTAAGACTGCAAATGATTTATTTGAGTGAAACATTAAGAACTGAACTTCCATGATTTTTCAATGATGCTAAGACTTCTTCAATGATGAATAATGCTGCCGAGTCAATAGAAACTAGAAGGAAACAGAGGCCAACAAGATATAGATAAAGAATCAGAATGGCAACCTTGAGGTACTTTAAATGCTCGAATGGTTTTTCTTTTTATTCCTGATGATCCATAGGCATATATAAGTATCATTAGAAGTTTCTAGACTGATCATAAAACATTTTTTTCTCCTATATATGCATTTGTCTCTCTGTATTATCCTTTGTAACTCATCTGAATTTATTCACTCATTGACTTTCATATGACATCTAAAATTTCACATTCTATTATGTTTATCATTTATTAAGTTTGCTTGCCACCATAAATAGGGCATGCTGACGGAAATAATTACCGGAATAGGAACAAAGGGAAAGTAATAAGCAACATGAAAATTTTAATCCTTTACAGAGCATATATATATCTAAAGTGGATTCGCCTAACAAAAGGTTTAGCTTGCATTTCCACTCAAAAGCAATCAATCAATTTGCTTTCACTACTCAAAACAACATATACAGCAATGATTTATACCTTAGGAAACATCATTCCATATCCTTTCTGAGAACTGATGACAAGAACCTTCATAGCATGAATCAGATCATCATCTGGACAGTTTATGCTGAATTTATACGGAATGCATCTGCATGCCAAATAAAAGATCATTTCACTAATAAAAAGAGCAAAGAAGTCAAATCAGACCAATGCAATCACATAAAAAAGATTTTCACACCAAAACAGAAAAAGAGCAAGAGCAATCCACAGATCCAGAAAGCATATCTCAATGCAAACATCTCACGATCAAATAAATGAAAATTTCAGAGCAATTATTAAACCGTGAACAAATTAGATGGCTCGAGTCTCGAGATGAAGAAGAGGGACATTCAAGGAACCTACCCGACAACTAATCGGCCGCCAGTGCTTCTGCTGTAACGCTGAAACTCCCTTCCTTGCCGAGCAACCAAACAAACCATTCTCTTCAAATCTTCACGCTCGATCTTCACCTCCCTCTATTACTGCACCAGCACTCTCCGTGTCTGCCCTAACCCTCTGATTTATACGCCTTTCATAGAAGAACAATGAACTTCCAGAAATGCAGCTCTCACGCGCGCAGCGGTATTCGGCTTCAGGACGGATTGGAAAATCGGGCATTATATAGAGAAGAGAAGGAATCCGATATTCGAGAATCCGAGGGGATAAGGTTGAATGTATTAGTGGAAACGAGTATATCCTTTTTCTAAAATTACGTATCAGATTTTTTTTTCCTTTTTGGGACATTTAGCCCAGTTAAGATAAACTCCTATCTACTTTATAGGCATAAAATTTAAATTCAAAATAATTTAACTAATAATTAATATTCTCAATCAATGTATCAAAATGAGCTAAGGATCATAAAAATTGTAGAAAAATTATTGAATTAATTTCTATGATAAATTATATTCATTTTAAATTATGTATAAAATACAATTAAAATATATTATTTTAAAAATAAATTTTAATTAGTTTTGATATACTTTCTATAAGTTAATGTGTCATATTTTAAAACTATGGGAGTGAGTTATGGAGCATAGGTTGCGGCGTGATATAAATGTTTCTCAAAATCAATTTGGATTCATGCCGGGTAGGTCGACTATGAAAGTCATACATTTATTAAGAGGTTTGATGGAGAAATATAGAGAAAATAAGAATGACCTACATATGATATTATTGATTTAGAAAAAGCATATGATAAATTCTAAGAAGAATGCTATGGAGAGTCTTGAAAAGAAGAGTCACATAATGCTTATATTCAAATCATTAAAGATATTATGCAGTAGCTATATTGTGTTCAAACACAAGTGGATTTGACACAATATTTCCCTATTCCGGTTGGTTACATCAAGGATCGCCTTAAGCCCATATCTTTTTGCTTTAGTCATGGGATGTCTCACTAGACATTTGAAGAAGGATGATCTTGGGTGTATGCTTAATTAGCTATTGAATATTTTCTTGTTGATTTAAACTAGAGAGGGAGTTGAGGTAAACTTGAATTATGGAGGTCAACCTTAGAGTCTGAAGGTCTCGCTTGAGTATCTAAAAACGATATTTGAGTGTAATTTTATAGTAATAACACTAGTGAGGGTATTTGACTTTGCGCATCAATCATTAATAAGAGTTACACGTTTTAGATATCTTGATTATTGTTCAGAGTGATAGTGGAAATAGACGGGATATTATCAGCACGAAATTCAAATTGGATAGGCTTGACAGTGAAGGAATGCATCGGGCTTGTATGTGATAGAAATGTACCCTCAAACTTAAGGGAAATCTATAAGAGGTAGTGACCTGACAATGCTTGATTGGTTGACGAATGTTGACCTTTAAAGAGAAGCAAATACTAAGTTAAGTGGCAGAGATGAGGATGCTCAGGTGGATGAGTGGCTTTTACCCTTAGAGATAGGATACGAAATGAGAATATACGTGAAAGGTTGGAGTACTCCAGTAGAGATAAGATTAGAGAAAGTCGCCTTAGATGGTTTGGTTACAATAAAAGCGGGGCCTTATGATGACCGATTAGAGAGTTTAGAGGTATTATGATTGACTTATGTTAAGAAAGGTTACGGAGAGCTAAAAAGACTTGGTTAGAAAATATTAGGAATGACTTTTCTTTATTAGATTTAAACGAGAATTTTGACTTTTAATAGGACACAATGGAGAAAAAGGATTCATGTAGCCGACCCCACGTAGTGGGATAAAGGCTTGATGTTGTTGTTGTTTGATATACTTTCTATGATAATGCTATCATATATATATATAATTTAAAATTATATAAAAATTTATGACCTCATGATAAAATATATGAAAATTTTAAATAATATTATATAAATTTTAATTTAATTTTAATAAAAATAAGATTTAAATTAATTTTTATATAATTTGAACGGATTAGTTAAGTGACCAATCTAGTTGAACTAATTTCTAGTTGGACTGATCGATTTGGTTGATTTTTAAAATGCTCCTAATCGTAATCGTTCCTCTGTTTGGAAAATTATTACGTGCGGCATTCGGATTTGTTCGGAGGCGAATTCGGATGCGGCATAACACCCGGGGCCCGATACATCTAGGCGACGTGACACATCTAAATTTGCTTCTAGACGGTCCGAACACCGCACGGAATAATCTCTCCCTTTGTCCTTATGATCTCTTTGTTCTTATGATCTCACAGGGCACCATCTTGACCCCATTTGCCGCTGTGGCTTCCACTATTCCCAGGCCTCCGGCAACTTTAACTCGCAACGTCGCAATCTCGCCACCACGAAGCTTCCCCTGATCCAAAATCTCCGATCCCCATCCCAAACCCCTTTCAGCTTTGCCTCGCCAGGTCCGGCGTTGACGGGCTCTACCCGATCCGCCCAAGCAACTCAATCTCCATCCCTTCCTTATCCAGATCCATGGCTCTCTCTTCTGCTTCGTCTCTCCCAAGCCTTAACCGTAAGATTAAAAAGTAGTAATCGTAACAGTAGCTCTTCAAATCTTTCATAGCTTTCAAAGTAATAGTAACAGTCGCTCTTCAAATCTTTCATAGTTATCTTATTCTAGACATCTTTCTATGAGTTTTTCTAGCGTCATATCTTATTCTAATTTAAGGTCTATTGGAGATTACAATGGTTTTTTTATGAAGGCAATTGTGAAGCTATTGTGTAGAAAGTAATTTTTTGAAAGTTGTTATAAAAAATAATTTTAAGTTTTTTTTTAGATAATTTTTTAATGTTTTGTAAAGTAGTTTTTTAGTACAAAATTTATAAAATTAGAAATTTTTGTATTATAAAACTACTTTAGAAACAGCAAGAAAGTTATCATAAACAAAACCTTAGCTCAAAAATTTTTCGTAGGCGAAAAAAAAAAGTTGTCAAATAGAAATTATAGTTACAGTCTAAAAACAAAGCAGTTAGTAAGTTATTACAAACAAATCCTCAATAAATAGGTAATTTGATTAACCAAAAAAGTTAGCAAATATAATATTTTTCATTGCAATTTTCTACCTAATTCTAATAAAAATATATAAAAATATCAAAACCATTAATGTAACATATATGTCTTCTTCTTATACAAAATTAAAACTCAAATATTTATTAATAAAAAATCATCAATTATTAACCAAATATTAGAGAGTGAAAAGTAATTTCACTTAAAATTCTTTATCATTTTCATTTTCATTCCCACTTTTCTAATTCCTTCAAATCTATTATAGCTGGCCTACTTTAAGTCATGTCATTTGGATGGGAATGAAACACCAATTCAAAACGTTCAAAATGTGAAGCACAACTACATGCTTGATCAATTTGTATTTATCAAATTTTATATAATCATAATCTAGAATAGACGCAAATATTGCGCCGCCCGTAAAAAGTCTAAAAAGAAATATTTTAATAAGCATAAATAAGTAGCTCGTGTTCATTACCAAAAGCATTCTAAGATTTAAAAAAAAAAAAAGTTAAGACTCCCATATAATCGTATATTTCATGAATTTATAATTGAATCTTAAACAAGCGTATTATTAAGCCTTAATTTAACTTTCGACTTAATAAGATTGTTCACAAGCTTGTTCATGTTAATAGATGAATAAAATGTCAAGCTGTTCGAATTTGTTCATTTATCAATAAAGTATTTGGCATAGAAGATTAGAGAGAGCCGTCTTAGATAGTTTGGTCACATAAAATGTCGATCTTTTTATGACCTGTATTAAGAAAGGCAGAGGTAGGTCTAAAAATACTTGATTAAAATGTATTAGAAGTGATCGTTTTCATCAGATTTAAATGAAAATTTTACTCTTAATAAGACACAGTAGAGAAAAATGATTCTTATTGACGACCCAATATAGTGGGATAAAGACTTGATGTTATTATTGTTGTATTAATCAAGTATTTATAAAAATGTTCACATTTGTTCAAGTGAACGAGTAAATGATACAATCAAATTATAATCAAATTGAATGCGAGTAACATGTCGAGCGTATCGATTCATTTACAGCCCTAACCTATGCTAAATAGCATATCTTCAACTTGATCATGCACGTGATTACTAACTCCCATAGTCAATTGTAATCAATGTATTTGAAAATAAGAAACCTGAGAGGAATGTGCATGGAAGTCTTGGTAGAAGAAGAGTTGGTGATAGAGGTCCATTCTTCTCAGCGCGCAAATGATATCACTTAGAAAATAATTTTTTTTATTTTATTTCATACTTAGGTCAATTAAGAGTCGATAACTAAAACTCTTAACTAACATATCAAAATGAGTTATGTCAAAGAAAAAAGTGTTGAATATCAACTTAGTTTCCTCAGGCCAGTGGGCTTCGACCATTTTTCTTTGCAAGTCGCAATTATTTCCACTTTGTCTGCTAATTTAGCCAAAAAAAAAAAAAGTAATTGAGTCCTCATATGTGCACGTATCAAACAAAACCTATCATCATATTTTCAAAAAAGCTACTTGATATATCATCAAAAAATTATCTTGACCGGGCACGAATCTCAAGGAAAATTGAGTTGAAAACTTTTGAAATTAAATTTGGGACCATCCAAACTTTGATTTTAGCAAACTTATAGTCGAAATGAACATCTCGAAAAGATAAATCCAACAACACCAAATTCGACTCAACCCAAGCCCGAATAGATCCAAATCAAGACTTCAAGCATTTTTTTGAGGATTCAAAGCATAATTTGGATTACCAAACGTAACATACTTATAGTCAAATTGAGCGGCTCAATGAGACAAATCCAACGAGCCAAGATTGTTGAATTCTAATATCATTAAGACATTCAAATGATCAATAAATCGTCCACGATCAAAGGGAACAATATCGACCGTCCATTCAAATCACTGCAATCTTGACTTTGATCCTCCTCATATTTACAAGTCATGCCACTCTGAAAAAACTATAAATAATCATCATTCTTCTCATGAGAGGAGGAGGAGGGGAGGAAGGAAATCAGGAAGAGAAGGGAAAATTTTGAGAGCTTACTTGCCACCGACCACTGCCAGACTTTCGCCTATGACCTACCGACCAACGCCGGAGTTTCTTCCCGACCATAGCCTGTCGAGTACAATTCTTCCGACCTCCTTTGCCATCTAAAGATCAATCTGACCTCCGTCGCTAGATAATTGTCCTTCTGACCTCCGTCGTCTGCCGACTATAGTCTTTCTAACTATTGTCGCCAGCTGACTACAGTCCTTCCGACCTCCATTACTAGAAACAAATCTTTCTAATCATTGTTTCCCATCGAATATGATTCTTCTGACCATTGTTGCTAGCGAATGGTCCTTCTAACCTTCGTCGCCAGACAACGGTCCTTCTGATTTGAGTCGCCTGCCGACTATGGTCTTTGTGACCATTGTCACCCGCCGACTTCGATCCTTCTGATTTATGTCGCTAGATAATGATCTTCCTAATCGTTATCCCTGACCGACTAAAGTTCTTCCGACCAGCGTCGTCCGTCGACTACGATCCTTCCGACCACCACCGTCCAACTAAGGTCCTCTTGACCTCCGTCTCCTATCAATTACAGTCCTTCCAACCACCATTGCAAACTACTGTCATTCTGACCTCCATCTCCTACTGATTATAGTCCTTTCGACCAGCGTTGCCCGTCACCTACGATCCTTCCGATCACTATTGCCCACCAACTATGACTTTTCAAACCACCATCACTAACTACAATCCTTCCAACCTCCGTTTCCCAACGAGTACAGTCCGCCTAATCACCATCACCAACTAAGATCCTTTCTAACCTCAGTCACCTATCGACTATGATCCTTCTGACCACTGTCGCCCAACTATGGTCCTTCCGACCACCATCACCTGACTACGGTATTTTCGACCTCCGTCGCCTGACTACGGTCCTTCCGACCGCCATCATCCGACTATGGCCCTTCCATCCAACATTGCTCGCTAACTTTGGTCTTGCTGCTCAAACAAACATATCAACACTAATTATTCCAACTCTTATCATATAATGCACTCTATATGATGTATATTTGCTACATTGAGCTAAAACTTTTCTCCTAAGGAAGGATCTCATTTGTAATCAATTACAAACACCAGTGAATTCCTTCAAACTGAGTTAGGCCCCATGATTTTATCCTTTTCAGGGGAAATTTTCACATAAAAATTATGGTGTTTATTATTAACACTATAATCATACTTTCTTATATATTTGTGTGTTGGATCTTCCTACAAAGCTAAGACGCAAATCTACATCGCCCTCTACCATCGTGAATATTCTAGGATGCACCACTACTTTAAGATGAAATTAATAAGAGAAAGTGAGATTGTTGCTACTTCAATTACAGAAGAGAGAGTGCAGTGACATGTTGCTACTTTCTTATCTTAACATTAATGAATTTGGTAACTTCTTTAAGAAAAAAAAAAGTTCGTATATTATGAAGTTCATATATTATGAAATATATATTTTAGAACATATGATAATTTTAAATTTTTGTTTGACATCCTATTTTGATCGTGATATTGTGGGCTCTCAAACTAGGTTGTAACATTCTCACTTTCTATGTATTTCACAAGTTAAAAATAATACGGTTCCACTCATTGGGGAATATGTTGAAACAATATAGTATATATAACTGATGGAGAAAGGATTTCATGGTGGAAGTTACAAGAACCTTGAGGTATTGGAGTTATTTTAAAGAGATCTTTTGTGACATGTTTGTCTATTCTCTTTTAAAGATAAAAAATTGGAGACCTAGAATCCCACATGTAAATATTAGTTTTGAGACTAGAAGCTAGTTAGAGTTGTTGTTGATGGTGTGCTTGACAATATTGATGATGAAATGCATCTATGTTATTGGTGTGAAAAGTGATAAAGTTTGTGGGTGTCAGTTTTGGTGTTGGTTTTGATGTCTATAGTGTGCATCAATCTTATAATCACCTTTTATGGACAACGACATGCATCAGACTTATAGGCGATGGCTTATCAATATTGTTGACGAATGTAGGCAACGAAGTTATATGGCATCAGTGTAATCAAGTAATGATAGTTAAATGATAGTGATTGAGAAGTTTTAAAATGTCAAGCTGTTCGAATTTGTTCATTTATCAATAAAGTATTTGGCATAGAAGATTAGAGAGAGCCGTCTTAGATAGTTTGGTCACATAAAATGTCGATCTTTTTATGACCTGTATTAAGAAAGGCAGAGGTAGGTCTAAAAATACTTGATTAAAATGTATTAGAAGTGATCGTTTTCATCAGATTTAAATGAAAATTTTACTCTTAATAAGACGCAGTAGAGAAAAATGATTCTTATTGACGACCCAATGTAGTGGGATAAAGACCTGATGTTATTATTGATGTATCAATCAATTAAAGTGTTTATAAAAGTGTTCACATTTATTCAAGTGAATGAGTAAAATGTCGATTCATTTACAACCCTAAACTAAGCTAAATTGCATCTCTTCAACTTGATCACGCACGTGAGTAC